CAAAAAACTTTAAAACTTGTTTAATTGATGACGAAAAAAGAAGGTACAATGTATGACCTTACACCAATACAGAGAGCATTACTGTAGTGTGAGAGCAAATCCACTTGTATCTCCACTATTAAATGGCAACACATTCCTTGCCCATTTTTAAGAATGTTGTATTCTTTCACAAAAGCGAGCTTTATAACTTCCCACTCCTTGCCTTAAAAATGATACACTTGTATTCCCTATAGAAACACTTGACACCTCCGCTTCAAATTAACCATCCGGGAGGGTAACGTTTGACCTTTACTCCATGGGCACGGACGACAGTGAATTGCACACGAGTTGAACCGGGCGGGAGGGGGGCATGTTGAAACAACACATAAGCTCTTGTGTTTTTTCATAAGAATTAGAATTTTTGTACAAATAAATTAAAGACATATTAAATATAAGATGACTCGCCTCGTTTGGCTCACCAAGTGTCCGCATGTTCCCCAGGCTTCGCCATCGGCCACAAACACTGTAAACTGAAGGAACTCACTCGATATCCTTTTTTCTTTGAGGTCTTTGTCCTCATGAGGTCGTCCTCGCTTCATTACGACCCCCCCATTGTCAGCTAAAACCCTAACAGCATCAAATCTTTACTTGAAAATGCTCCCCAAGTCAAGAGTCAACCAACGCAGTACAAGATTTCCAAGATCAGAGGATCGCACAGTGATTTCAGTAAACATTCTACATGAACAACCCTCCGGCACTTTGGAAAGATGCAGATTTTCCACCAAAAGTAGCCCATTCTCCGAGTTAGGAACTTCAACTTTTCTTTTGTAAAAAAATCAAGAGACTTAATAAAAAGATTCTACCTACATTATGATTGTTACGATGCTAACCTCATCACCACAAAACGCCTGTTCAACCCAACACCTTGTTGTAGATTTCGTCCGAGGGGCCATGCCGGTATGAAAAATTACCTCTCAGACCTCTTGCATCATTGAAACCTTATAATTTTGAGGGTTTGGGCTTGATTGAGACTCGAAAGACTAAGCGTAACTCTGTTTCGTTGGAGATTTATATGCCCCCACTTTTAACCTGCTAAAAGGTATAGATAATAGCTGTATTTAAAATTAGAAATTATTCACCTTAGTGCCTAGCGAGTTTTCCTGGATAGACCATTTTTTTTGTGCATTATTTTATGTTATTTTATTTTTCTTAGCAATAGAAATGGACCTTGCAAGAGATTCATATGTTTTTAGTAGTGCTTAATGAGATATTACTAAATCATGTATTTACATATTTTTTAATTATAAGCAGGTTAAATTTACTTTTCTATTTCCTTTTTTATTGTAAAGCGCCATTGGGCTAAATGGAAATGGCGCTACATAAATTTTGTTGTTGTTGTTATTGTTGTCATTATTATTATTATTATTATTATTATTATTATTATTATTATCATCATCATCATCATGATAATGAGTTCAGTTATAAATAATGCTGATTAGAGGGCCTGTTCCCACACCGAACACGATTGTTCAACATTCCTTTCGGCTGACATTTCCCAAGCAAAGAATGGTGAGTTCCTCATTGTTGTTTATTTCACGCGCTTGAGATGTACTCATACTCCACATGACTACATTTGCACTTTTCTTATAGTATGAAAATCCTATCAATTGTAGTTTCCATCGTATTGTAATAATAGAAATACATCATTTGTAAAAAAGTTCAAGCCCTTTCCTGCGCTGCACAATACTATCCGACAGTTCCAAATCTCCAAACCTTACAAAAAAGCCTTATGAGCAAGTAGCATTTGGGACAGCAACAACCATTGCTAAGAGAAATCCTCAAAGAACCGATAATATCCTACAGAAAGAAGTGTTCACTCAGACATACTCGTGAGAGAAAAATTGTTGCGAGGGAGAGAAAACCGAATATACCATGGAGTTTCGTGTAAACATTTGTCGCTAATACAGAGAAAACTGGACGCACTACTGAATCATTTAGGCATGTCGACCTCAATTTACATGAGAGCATTAATTAAGCCCGTTTTTAAAGCAAAGAAATACTTTTTATGAGCTCGCCTATATCGGTTCCAACCCCTATCCCGCCTTCGAATCGGAGTATGTCCCGGTCTCGCCTTCCTATCTTCAACCCGTATCTCGCCGTTAAAGAATCTCGTATCCCACATCTCGCCTCGATTTTAAGCCTCATCCTGCATCCTGCCAAACCTATGTTGGACCCTCTCTACCGCTTTCATTAAGTATACGGCATTCACTGTTGGATTTAATAGACTGAGCACGCAGGAAATCTGCGGAGAGCACATTAAAGTTGTTAAATATGTTTTGATTACCTTTATAACTAAGATGCAGTCCTCCCTTGTTTAGGCCATTCTCTGTGATCTTTAGATGGTGGATAAGTTTCCATCCATTCTGACGGCAATAGCTCTTTAGATGTTTATTGGCATCTTTCACTGCTCCATTGAATTCATCCCTTGTACCTTGTAGAAGTAAGCCTAAATATAGCGGAGAATGAATCTTCGATTTGTCTACGATCGATTCAGCATCTTGCAACAGTTTTTATATTTAAGGTTATTGGAGTCGACATAGAGAACGTCTTGGTCCGGCGAATGCTCCAGGTTAGTTTGAAGTTGTTCTATATAGCTTTTGAGGTGGCCCTACTGAATAACTTGACCACTGCTCGATGGCCAACGGCTTTTTCTAACTTTTTACAGCATATATTTGTCTTTGTTGAGGAAGCTCCAATTGATAGGGTTGTACATCAGTGTTGTAGCCAAAAATGCTCGTCACAGACATGTCCAACTTCACTTCCAAAATGGCTAAATGAAACGAAGTTAAGTAATGAATATGTAACCGGTTGCAAGAAATGGATTACAAGTTATAGTTGTCACAATTCAAGGTAAAGAAATTAACAAACGAGAAAACAAAAATAGAAGAAAACAAAAGACACTTACAAACGTCGCACGAGGTCTGGGTAAACTGCCACGATGTAAAGCGACGTAAAGCAACGTAAAGCAGCGTAAAGCGATCGATAGAGACGGTATAAACAGTAATAGACGGTTCAAATAGTTCAACGGTTGATCCGAATGAATAAAATCCGCGGTGAAGACTAATACAAGCGACATAAACAAAAGGAAATTATACAGGAAAGAGTAACAGAACATTGAGGAAAGTTATGCGCGCAGAACAAAAGGCCTGAATGAAATGTGACAAAAGAAGAGTACGAATTTGTAATCAGCCGAATTTTTGGCGGCAACAGTAATGGAATTATCGGAGACCTTAGCAATGGACTGTGTCCCATCCTCATTGTTCCTTTGTTTTTGTGTTTTAAATCTTTTTCTTTTCCATGCTAACAACTTGCCATTGGTCGCGCATTTGTATTGTCAGAAGGTATTTTGACTCCTCATTAATTGGATCCATTGCCAGAAATGACGGACAAAATGGCCGAGGCGGTGGTTTGTTGCTTGGAAACAGAGTATTTAAAAATGGCTGGAGCGTTACAATAACATGTATGGAACAATGAACTAAATTGAAAAATAAAAATACCTCGAGATGCTGCATATGTTTCCCTGACCTCTCATTATTTTTCTGAACATCCGACAAATTCGAAAATATAAATGGATAAATTAACCAGACTTCCTTGTAAGGTCCAGATGCATATCACATAGGATGTTTTTTGCTCCAGTGTCACTCCTTCAAGTGTCAGAGATTTGTCTGAGGTATCCTCAACCAATGGTCGTAAGGTTAGGCGTGTCTTTTAGAGTATATTCGCGGCTTCCTCCCGTGCAGGAAATAAGTTTCAAGGGAACTTAAAAAAGCATATTTTATCCTGTAAATACGTCTGCAAATCGACCGATATGAGTGTGTGTGGAGTTCGAGAAACCACCGTGGTCCTGCGCAAAATTTCTTTACGACGGGCTTCCATTTTCTTTCTCCCAAAACAATCTTTGTAGCCTGGCTTATTCAGCTTTATAGATAGTCCATGTATGTGGGCACAGAATGTATACCCATTGAAAAAATTGGAGGTTTGAATGAACCATCCCTTAGACACGCGCGTTCTAATGCATCGAGGAACTGGGACTTGTTATAGAAAGCCTAGACTTACGCACTTGTAAATTTGATTTCAGAAATGCAGATTTCCTTCACATAAGATATAAGAAACCCAAAATATATCACAAAAATGTCAGATGTAATTTCAAGGTACATGCAGAGAAGCTATGAATGTAAAATCCTTGTCCCTGATTCACCTTTGTCATACATAAGACAGGCAGTAAATATACCATACCTATTACTAAAGATAAAGTATGAAAATGTTCAGGATGGATGTGATTATATTGACTTTTTCAATGCCATAGTTTCCAGATCATGGTTTAGAGTTAGCGGTTGAGAGACAGGCTACCCTATCCAAGGCTGGCTAGAAAGAGAAGCAAGAATTGTGGCAAGCAAATATAGGCAAACTAAAGGAAGAAAAAGAGAACAGCTTTAGTCAAACTATCTCACTTTAAGCATTCTACACAATGAACTAGTGTCACAAGAGAGGAGCTTTCAGACTGGAAGAAAAGTTATAATGATTTAGAGGCAGAAAAGCAAAAGTTGATATATGAAATGAGGGATTTGCAAAGAAATAAAGAGGAAGAAAGGACTCTGCAAAATGAACAAAACCCAACTTATTTCTCTCCTTGTCTAACAACAGGGGAGGCATTGCTGCACAACCTCTATTTAGCTTGACTTTTATATCTCTTTGACTTGTATTCACTTGAAATTCTGCCACCTTTCAAAGGCAGAAAACCAAGGGAAATAAATATCAATCAAAATGGAAAGTTAAAAAGCACCTCTAAGCACATTCAGTTTCATATAAAAACATAATTTAATGTTATTGATGACAAGCATGTCGTACTATGTCTTAAATACATCCAAATGTAAAAGCTGTTTATCCTTCTTTAAAAGTATCTCTATCAACCAAATATCAATGCCTTGTTGGTGTTACAAAAATTATTAATTTGCTAAAAGTTAAGTTGGTAGATATTCTTCACTGCATGCTTTAGTATTAATTGTGAGAGATACCATCTCAAGGGGCTTTTTTGGTGCTCGAAGAAGTTTCCCTGCTTGCGCAACGAAATGCTTTGGTGAGTTTCCAAGGTAAGCTTTCATCTTTAAAGGAAAATCATCAGCCTTTCCCTGGCCATTGTAGTGTGACCTTCAAGAATGTTCTAGAAGTAGCTGTGTCATGCTGAGTCATCCCTGAATCAATATATAAGTAGAATCTATTGTAATGTTACGGAACGTTCTAGATCCTCAACCGTACCTATAAAAGCCGAGCTTGTAACTAGATGCAGCGAGTAGTTTAGTTGCTGGTATCGCCCGCCAGATATCAATAAAGGTGTATGCTGTAGAATACAAGACGTCCACACTACAGCCATGAGAGTCCAAATATATACCACCAATGATAGGGCAGAGACAACTTGTTAAAATCCTTTCAGCTGAGCATGGTGTATTGAGAGTCCCTTGATGATATTCCTTTGTAGTTAAAAAATATCGATAGACATCATGCTCTATGTTAACTGTGTAAGTGTGCTGCACTTTGACAGCATTTTATTTTAAAGGTGACTTGACTGCCAGATAAAAGCCATTAGATGCTGAAGCAATTTCACTCTCTGAGGGCCGTGGAGGCTTTTTATAAAGTCTGAAAGAGATTCAGAAAACAGATTTATTAGGACAAAAACAAATCGTTTAAAACAATCTTAACAAATGGGTTGTAAATTTTTCAGCTTATGTTAATTATTCTTATAATAAAAACAAGGTATTTTAAATATTGGAAGTCAACTGAAAAGCCTTTCTTGTTCGAAAGGCACTATATTTACTTCAACTTTTTTAAGCTTTCTTTACATTTGGGCATGAACTCAAAAATTATGTTTTTGCGGTAATAATTAATCTCACTTGATAAGCTCTTTAGATAGATGGAGGGCAGGCTCCCAGGTACAAAATGACATGGGCCATCCTTTCCACTTGATAAGGTACTCTATCTCCTATGAGAAAATAAATAAGAAGTGAAACGGTCGGCTGAAGACAAGCCTTGGAAAAGCAGCTTTTAAAGAGGCAGTAAGTACTTACTTTGCCGCTTTCCGCTCCGAAAGCAGTCTTTCAGTCAGAAACATTTTTACTTATCATAGGCTTTACAGACGACTTGTAGTAGGAGTAGTTTCTTCTTTCTTGTTCAGAAACTGTTTGATGTTATTATTTTAGAAAATCAGACTGAGTTTTTTTGTGAGTGGACGCAATAGTCTCCACTATTGTTATGACGTTTCGTATCAATGTTGATTCGCATCAGAGGAAGTAAAGATTTATTGTAACAATTTCAATAGTTCGAATGCAGTAGTTTTTTCGCATCTAATTCTTGCGTATACTGTACGACTCGCTATGATAAATGCGGCAGAATTGGAACGAAATGGCTGTTTTTCTTTACCTTTATTGAGGAATGTTGTGTTACGATTGAAAAGAACATCGACAAAAAGCTTGCAAATAGAATTAGTTACCAAGTACGATACAAACGATGATCAAAAGGAAAGTTTGGTAGGGAGGTCCAAATCTGCGAAAGGGGGATCCATATCCGCCAACGGATATGGACTGGGGGGTCCAAGTCCGCGAAGGGTCCAAATCCACTGTGACACCGGCGCAAAATGTCCGTGATTTCTGGTAATGACCTCTATTAGCTTTAGAAGTGTTTTAGCAGTTCCGTCAGTCGTGTTGGATGAGGCGGCCAATTTGGTCTTATTAGTCGAGGTAATCTGGTCAAATGGCTAATTTGGTGGGAGAGGCAAGATAAGGGTCGAGCTAACTGCTGTCATCAACAGTGACCCTTGTGCATGTTATTGAGGGGAGCCATCGTGAATAATGTTGTTTTTTTTTTTTTTTTTTTTCCAGTCTGGTTGGGTTGATTTGTGGTGGTCGCCCAGTGCATTGATATTCAGCTGATTCTGTTGGATGTGGTCACCATGTTGTTGTGCATCAAGTCCTTCTTCGCTGGGAAAGTCAATATTTGGCCACACATTTGATAGGGTCTGGCGCTAGAATCTTCTGACAACAAAACCGAGCTGAATTTCATTTATTTTGCAAGTGTATATTTGAAAGTCTGATATTAATTTTTTTTTTCTTTGATTTATACTCACAACCTTCTTTCAATAAGTTTTCAAACCTTATGTGTTCTGAATTATTGCAGCACTTCATGGTTATCATTTAGTATTATTTTCATATCTGTAGTTTTTTTCTCTTGTTAAATTATTATTACCATTTCAGCGTGGGGTTGTGCGGAAATTTTACCAAATTTTCTTTCACGGCGCTGAATTAATTCATTTTGCAAGTGTTTCTTTTAATGTCTGATTTTGTTTCTTTGTTTCAGATTTATACTGACAACCTTTGAAAAGTGAGCATTCAACCTGTATCTGTTTTTAATTACTTCAGCATGTCATGGTTATCATTTTAGGATTATTTTCATGTCTATATTCTTTCCTTATGTAACATATAACGTAACTCTTTTAATCTTATTGAATTTAAATGACAGACATTCTTAATTCTTTGTCAATATTGAACTGTTTTAACTTGTCCATTTCATTTCTTCCCTATCCTCGCCCTAAAGTAAAGTGAACTTAACCTGGTTTTGACAAAGTCAAACATTGAGCAACCAATTTTGATCAGAACTCCTGCATTGGCATTGAAAGCCACCGTGTAAGTTTCGATTACAGTAGGAAAATTTTAAGGCAACTGATTTCGTTATCAGTGCTGACATGAATTGCACACTTGAGCAAACGCTTTTTGTCTGTTTGATCAAATTCTGCAACCCACAACTTTGTTTAATTAACTTAAAATAACATGAAATATACAAGTATAATTAACACCTGAACGAGGAAAGAATCTTTGAATAGCGCAGCTTGAGTTCTCAACGTAACAGTCGATAATAACCATTAATGAAGTACGTAGTCCAACTCTTTAACAAAACCTTACACTTGAGGTGCCTCAGTTCCAACAACAGCCTTGGCATCATTCGTCAGATAAGCCATCATGTCACAATGTACTAGACCCGATTTGCTTCTCGCTTCGTTGCCTTTTTTGAAATGTTGTTGGAGCGGGATGACAGCTCTCGGAAAGATCGATCAATATTACTGGAATTGTACTATTTTACTTTTATAATTGATGTGGAAGAATTTTGCAAAGGCTGATTAGAAAAAGATCTAAGTAGACAAAGGAAGTAGATAGAGTTTTTATGTGACAAACACGGTTTGAGGGTCTCATTGGGGTGATGGCTTTTATGGCTATCGGTTACAGGAATCTTTTTTTACGACTAACGATTAAAATTTTGTCAACTTTTACGACCAACGGCTAAAATTTATGGTTGTTTTACGGCTACCGGTTAACACCATTAGACCCTCAGATTTGCATTTGTGGAGACAAATTTATTTGCCGCGAACAGTTGCGAACGCCAAAGTATTGTGCGCAGAGGAAAAGAAATATGGAAAAAGGGGGATTTGAAAACTAAAAAAAAATAGGCCTGTATTTTTAGAAAGGAACTCACGATGGAGTCTTAGTTCAGAAAAAATGTTGTCCAAGCAAGAAACCTAAAGACGATTCCTTGGGATACGTTGGCAACTGAGCGTAGCATTGGAAGGGATTGTGCAGCAACAGTACTGAACGCTCGCTCGCCCAAATTGTACCTGCTCTGCAGCTAATAGTTAGCCTATTGACGTATACTGTTAACCGCTCTACTAAAAGTGTTCGCTAATTCGGAGTCGAGTGATCTGGACGGTGATTTAGCTTTGGCGATTATCTCTGTGGCAGGAATGTGTTCTTAAGAGCTACACCGAAGTTCAGTCCTTTCTTTGGCTGTCTCAGCATCGCCGTAATAAGGTAACGGGTATCCAGTCAACCTTATCGTCTAGAGAGAACTATGGTGACTAAAGCGATGCAAGAGTACTACTAGTGGCATACGAGTGCATACGAGTGACAGACGAGTACATACTAGTGAATACTGATATACATGAAGGAAGTTTTTTACTTATTTTTGATCTATTTATTTTTTTTTTTTTTTTTTTTTTTTTTGTTAACCTGCATCAGGCGCTCGTGGTGTTTTAGTCAAAGTGACAGAGACATCGCAGAACTTTAAAATCTCTTTATCACAGTGAATGGTCAAAGCATCGTGATCCACATCGGTATTGATTATAAACGAATACAAATTGGTCAATTGTTCTGGTAAGTGCAAATGGTAAGTTACAGGTTCAAATGAAGAAAAATTGAAACAAATTGAACTAGTTTACAATATTTTTCGTTTACCTCAAAAACTCTAAGTCTTTCATTTCCTTTTTTTTCTTTTTCTTTTCTTGTGTATCTTTTAGTGTCTTCAGATGTGCAAGCGATTATCTTTGTGTTCTCTTGAGATGTGTTGTTTCTTCATTTCTGTCATATTTCCAGCGTGATATAATAAAGTCAAATTTTATTTAGTTGAGAAAAAAATAACCCGCGTCGATTAACATCTGTTATCTGCAGGTCAAAGAAATATCTTGTGTATGTATAAGAAAATAAAATAAAATAAAAGTGTGAAAGTGTGATGGGGTACCGTTTGGAAAAAATCAAACTACCGTCCGTCAATGAGACCAGCGAAGCCGTCATGTGAGACCATAGACGGAAACAAAGGGAGTCAAAGCAGTCTCCTTCAGACACTGCCTCGCTTTCTTGGGAGCGATGAAAATTTAATTAGGTGGTAAACTTTATTTATTGAAACGCGGAGATCGGTTAAAAGTCAACCAACCGTTGGCAGAAAGGTGTCAATAGAGATGAATTTTTACTTTGTTTGTCATCTTGTTATTGTGGTTCACTGTGCCCAAGGTAAGCGATACCTACAATACATTGTAAGTGATAAGCAAAATCGAATAAGCGAGATATTCGATACTTACTCCCTATTTGCATCTTTTAGCCCTTTATGGTGTAGAATAGGTCGATTCAAAGACTTGACGCTTCCAGTAGATATAAAAGGGGAATTTTAGTACATTTTGAAAAAAAACCTTGATTTTAAGGCAACTCGTAAATCTAAACCTGATTTTAAGTCAAGCTTGAAATCAGCCTCAATTAAAAACTTTTCTTGAACATTTTGGAGACAACCTTGATTTCAAGGCCACTAGAGAGGGTGTGAACGATTCTCTTGTCGCGCCATCGGGGTGTTGATTGTTTGTGTGAAGATTTTCAAATATCAATTTTGTATCTTCTCGCAAAGAAGTCGTGATGTGCCTTGAATTGTTCTTCTGTCAAAAGAAAGTTATCTAATCATTGTGAAAGAAGATTGGCGTGAGAACAGGTACCTGATTTTTGTGAAGCCTCTTTGAAACATGTTAAGTTATTCACCCTTTCAGGGATAAGTTTGAAAAAAGACTGAAAGAAATTTCAGGGAAAAATATCTCACGTTTATTGATGTTAACCGATTATTCACAGACGCGCGCTTTTTTGATGAAACGTTTTTAAACAAAATTCACCTGTCTATTTTGCTTTTACAAAAGCCTGCGTAAAAACATCAGAGCTACAGAAACTTTTTAACATTAATTTTCACAAA